TGGCAGACCTCTCCTGACCCGCCCGCTGCTCCCTTCAGCAGTGTACTTTGTCAATCTGCCTGTTCTGCTCCCCGCTCTGTCTCTGGTGAATCCTCTCACCACCCCTGAACCTCTGGCCTGTACCCCAGTTCTATATGCATAAACAAATGAATCTAAAAAAAAAGGTGACAGGGACACAATTAGGGTTTTTTTTGTTTTGTTTTGACAAAATTCACCTTTAGTTTCTAAATTATGTTTGGTAGAAAAAAGTTCTCAACATTTTTAAATAAATGACTCCATTGGTTGACTTAAACCGTTACTCACAGAGCAGATCAAAATTTCTTAGCCTGAGCCCCATTGCCATTTTGGGTCAGGTAGTTCTTTGTCATGTGAGTTGTAAGGATACTTAGAAACATTCCTAGTTTATTCCCTCCAGGTGCCAGTGGTACTCCCCAATCGAGAAAGTCAAAAATGTCTCAAAACACTGTCAGATGTTTGTGGAGGATGGCAAAATTGCTCCTGACTAAGAATGATTGCTATAGATCCACTCAATAAAATAAGCTTGACAATGAAGGACATCTGAGTTTTCACCCCACCTAATGACTGATATGTTTCTCTTTGACAGATGTAGCATATTGAGAAATGTTGGGCTTGGTTTAGTTAATCTGCAGGGAAATTTGCATTCTGATCCTTTGCACAATTCAACATTGTTAAGGGCAGAAATGTAGTAATTCCAGCCACTGAGTCAAATGCTTCATAGACATTGAATTATTTAATCTTACCGTACTCCAGGGAGTATACACTCCTATTCAGTTTGACTGAGTGACAGTGAGGCCTATTAGTGACGTAATGGCAGGGCTACTAAGTAAAGAAAGCAGCAATGGGACTTAGGCAGGAATATTCCACAGTCTGCTCCTGAGATATCCATAGAACAGTGACTACCATACTAGAGGAATTCTACATAATAGTCTTTGCTGCAAAGGTCTAAATCTCTCTTTCTCTCTCTCTCACACACACACACTAAAATAAAAATTAGGGGGGTCAATTTAGAAATAAATACACATTTGTAGTAAAATTTAAGGAATACTAAATTTAAGGATTTAACACAAATGCCCTAGAGTCTGAATTTCATATACATTCCTAATGATAGGAAACTACTAGTTAACCAGAATGTGGCTTGGAAGAATACACTGAGACCTAAAATAAACCTCGCAAATTGTACATCTTCCACATTTACATTAGAAAGGAGAATAAATACCTATAGTAAGCAGCAAGAAGTTAATGTTTCTTAAACTATAATAGAACAATGAGAATAATGAGAATTTGAAGGGTTAATTCTACAACACATAATGGATCCATGTATAAGATCAGGGATACACATGTTTTAGTTAGGTTGTTTTTCAAAATACAGAGATTTTAAATGCAAGTCTGACACTGTGGTATTAAATGCAAGTCTGATTAGTTTGTAAGGTTCTCCTATGTAGCCCTTTGAGTCCTTCTAATACATCAAATTAGATTTTTTATTGAAAAATTTTACCCTTGAGTTAGGATCCTCCTTATTAAATTCTAAGTGGAAATAAACACTTTCATTGTAGAAGTATGACTTAGTTTGTTTTCCAATAAAACCTTATTTCCTTTTGCTCACTGAAAGAAAAAGCTCTTAGATTATAATCACAGAAGTACAATATACACATTTATGTGTGTGTCTGAACAACATATGCTGGATACATCTAATTTTTATATTTTAATAACAATGACTTCATCAGCATATATGCCTTTTAGCCTGTGTGTCTGAGCAAAATATACTGGATATATCTAATTTTTATCTTTTAATAGTGACTTCAGCATCTATACCTTTTACCCCATTTTTATGGCATATTTTCTATGTGTTTTAAATTCAGGGATTGACAATTGGTATTTTTCTTCTCCTTTTTTTCCCCTTTCAATCTAAAGCTTTGTTCTGCAAAACGTATCAAAGGAAGCTTACTCTGGGGGAAGCGAGGTGGATTGTCGTTGACATCTGTCAGTGTGATGTTCACTGTGGTGGTCCCGGATAATCCCCCCATCTGGCCGCCCATATCCTTGGCTTGAATCACCACTTGGTACTGCTCCCTGTTTTCTCTGTTCATGTTGGGTAAAGCAGTCCTGATGATACCTGAAAGAAGTATAGAAGCATCTGTAATCGTTATTAAAATGTCCATTGTTAGCTCTTTAAATACCACACAACTTGGATGTTTTAGTGATTTTTGAAGTTCAAAATATTTTCCCTTTTACTTTCATTAGCTACAAATAGTTTTACAGTTGATGTTGTTTTTCTGTTTCTTATGAATACTCAATCTGTAACATAGTGACTTAAAACCACATGTAAAAACATAGAAAATGTATGTTATAGTTTTAAAATTTTATTTATTTATGCATATAGAACTGGGGTATAGGCCAGAGGTGCAGGCTGGTGAGAGGATTCACCAGAGACAGAGTGGGGAGCAGAACAGACTGACTGATGAAGTACACTGCTGAGAGGAGCAGCAGGCAGGTCAGGAGAGGTCTGCGGCGCCATGTGGTCACCTCCAGGGCAGGGACAGAATTCTTGCTCAAGTGACTTTAGCTTCTTTGTGCTGTGCTTTAACCCTCTGTACCACCAGAGAGGGTCCAAAATGTATGTTAATTCTTAACACATTCAATAATAATAATTCACATTTTCTTTCTTTTTTTATGTTACATATATACATACATATATATATACACACATATATATATTACATCATTCTGCATTTTATACATTTTTTCATCTAGATTGTAATCATTCACCTTTTACTTCTAAATGAACATTTTTTGAGTATGTGTAGATGGTTTGGGGTGTAAGCCTGAGGTGCAGGGGCCAGAGTGGAAGTGAGAGTTTTCACCAGTGAGAGAGTGGGGAGTAGAGCAGGTGGAGTCACTAAAATCCACTGCTGAGGGGAGCAGCAGGGAGACAGGAGAGGTCTGCTGTGCCATGTGGGTCAGCTCCCTGGCTGGGGATTGAACTCAGGCCGCAGAAAGACAGCACTGAGACTTTACCGCTAGGCCGCCAGGGGGACCCTCCTCTTTTATTTCTTAAACCTTTAAGAATAGCACCCTCATTCTTCTGTGAATGTTAATATGAAGGTTTTGCTCAGTTTCCCTCTTTTTTTTACTTATAAAGTATTAAATTATCAAATCAATGAAACTGATTCATGATTCCTGACCTGTTTCAGGCTCCACAGAGAAATATGGCTGCCCCTGAAGTATGCTGTAAATGATTCTGGCGCTGTTTCCATACGAGGGGTCATCGGCATCGGTAGCTGTGACTTGCACCACAGAAGTACCTGAAGTATCCAAATTCAGCTTAGTTCTGCACAGTACCAGAAGGAGGAGCAAAAGCACTGGTTTTCATGGAAGACTTGAATGGTTTTTGGCTTTAACAATGACCTCTTAAAGAAACATTTATCTATAACGATGAAAATTGTGTTATCCACAGGTAAATGCTGAATTCAACAATGTATTTAGTTAGCCTACAGGTGGCATGCAATATGTAATCTGATACAGCATATCAGATAATAATTAATATAGTCACCTCTCAAACTCTCGGGTTTGATATTTAAATTCCTTTTCACGTGATATGCCTTTCATGTAAAGGGCATATCTAATCACAAAGGAGTAAGTATGCTCTTCTTTTCCCCCTTTCCACTAATTAACTATAAAAATAATTAACATCTGCTCTAGAATACAATTTTATGAATAGATTAAATTCTAAATTTAGAAACAATCCAAGATGATCCCAAGTCCCATAAACTATTAAGAGCTGTTTAATAAAGTTCAAGATATTTAAAAGGACTTTATAGTAAGGCGATTGCCAGAAGTTCTTGGGATTTAGTGAAGTAAATATTAAATAATAATCCCTGAACAATGCTTTTGAAAACATTGATAGAAATTTGCTATTACGAGTGTTATTTTTAAAAATAACAGAATTGTTTTATAAGTTTATTCAACTTCTCCCTCATTTGAACAATGGTTCTGTTCTACTTAATGCAAATGTGTGTGTGTGTATATCTACAAAGGTTATCATAATTTCCTGGTATTTAATTTTCTGCTATATTCTGTGTAATTAAAAAAAACCCTGCCTTATCTTTCTTTGCCTACAAATAAAACATCCACTTACATTGAAAAGAGAACTTTTATTTTCTGGAGTACTATACTTGTTTTCTTATGTTTTGTGCCTTAGCATTTTCTACAACCAAAGTTTGTAATTCTATATGAGTATGTCATTAACAATGGATTTTCCACTGATTGTTTTGAATATGAAATTGATACCAGTAATTAATGTTATAGTGAAAGCATATGAAACTGAATATGAAATTGATACCAGTAAGTAATGTTATAGTGAGCGGATCTTTTTTTTTAGACAATTAATGTGAGTGATGTAGGTATACTCACTTCCATTGTGTATTAAGTGGTTAATCCAGGCAAATTCTTCAGGCAAATTTTCATGAGGATGTACATGTGAAGACTATTACATCTAAGGTGTTCTGAATATATTTATAATTGCAGTTAGGGTTCAACACAACTGACATTCAAATCTATGAGACAAATATGTTGTCTTTTGTACAATTTCTACTGATATCCAATGGTAATTCTCAGATTTTAGAGGTAACTGTCCATTTATTTGTATTATAGTAAGTTCATAAATCTTAGGAAGTGAAAAATGACTTATATTTCACTGACTCATTTCCTAAAATTAGAAAACAGAAACTGTACTCTGAGTAGAGAATTAAAGGTAATTTCAATTGATTACAATATTTTTGGAGATTTTTTGGTATGTATTTTTACAAATTTTTAACACCATCATAAATACCATAAAAAAAAAAAAACTTACCTACAACGGACATTTCAGGAACACTAGCTGTATAAACTTCCTCTGGGAAGGTTGGCTCATTGTCATTGATATCATGGATTTTGATCACAAACTCAGACTCTGGCTCTACTGGCCTCAGAGTTCTTCTGTTAATAGCTTGTGCACGTAGAGTATAAAAGGCCTTTTCTTCCCTATCAATTCTTCTTGTGGCATGAATGTCACCTGTTTTTTCATCAATAATAAAGAGAGTGCCAGCTCCATCTCCAGATAAAATATATTTGAGTGATCCATCTCCTTTATCTTGGTCTGAATGAAGCTGGGGGAAATAAAATAGTACATATGTATGATAACATCTAAAGGCATATAATACTGAAGGAATTCAAAGAAGGTCTCTCAAGTCCCGTCACTGAGTGATAGCGTCAGTTATCTCTGTTCTTGAAATGAAAGTTGAATAAGTATGACTCATCTATATACTCAAAACAGTAAGACCAGTTTTCTACATAGCAGTCTGATTTTATTCTAATGAAGAAAGGTCATAAAAATCAACCAAATATAGTTCCCTTTTTACCTTGCTGGTAAGTAAACATTTTCACAGACAAATAACTGCCAATAAAGACTGAAGTCATCAATTTTGATAAGTTGGAACTGTCGACAAGACTATCCTCATCTCTGATATGAGAGTGAGAAATTCTTTTACTCTCACATTATACAGGCAATCCATCTCCTATGAACTTATTACTTGTTATTGCAATTCGATTGGAGATTTAGTGATGTTACTAATTCTCACTCATTAGCGAGGCCACTAAGAATAGCAAATTTGTATGAGATTTAACTCCTGCTTTAGAAACAATATGCCTCATTGCTTGGTTCAGACAAAAGTCAGCAACTCTCCCGCAAATATTTGTGGGACTCAAAGCAGTCGTATAGATGATCCATAAAATACATGCCTATACGTGTGAAAGTTCTAAATCAAGTTAATAAAGGATAATAAAAAACAAGCTTCCTCCCTTGTTAACTCTTTTTCACAACCACAAATATCAAGTTCTATGCAAGCATGAGACAAATGCATGGCAAGCCTGTTTCCTACATACTTTTTGGTATCCACAATACCATCCTCCAGAATTAAGTCGACATGTCAAAAACCTTCACATGCTTCCCCCTGGACATCCCAGGCTGGTGCATATCCTATCCCAGTGCTAATGCAGGATTCCCTTGAGTCATGGGCAAACTCTATGTTTTTTTTTTTGTTTGTTTGTTTTTTAATGATGTCCACTAAATCAGTTTTCAGGGTTAGGGGGTACATACAACTGGGTGGGTCTAGCAGGCCAGCCAGTCTTGGTGGCTGACCTGGAGAAGGGATGCTGTTTGGACACAGAGGCAAGCTTGGGATGTTTAGGTAAGAAATAACAGCCTGCAAGTACCATGAGAATAGTTTGGAAATGGATGTGTAGGCTCAGGCTGAGGTTATACCCTACTCTCATAAAATCCTACCCTGAAGGGAGGGGCTTAGCATGATTTCATAAAGCACAGGAGTGTACCTTTCTCTTTATTATTATTTTTAAAGATTTATTTATTTATGCATTCACGAAGTAGGGTACAGGCTAGAGACAAAGAGGTGAGCAGAACAGGCAGATCCACTGAAATACACTGCTGAGGGGAGCAGTGGGGAGATAGGAGAGGTCTGTGCGGGGTGGGTGAGCCCCCTGGCCCCAGATTAAATTCATGCTGCAGTGGCTGTGGATAACCCCTTGAGCCACCAGAAGGGCCCTGTGCTTTTTCTTTTCTTTTTTTAAAGATTTATTTATTTATGCTTACAGAACTGGGGTACAGGCCAGAGGTGCAGGGATGGTGAAAGGATTCACCAGAGACAGAGTGGGGAGCAGAACAGGCAGACTGACAAAATACATTGCTGAGGGGAGCAGCGGGTGGGTCAAGAGAGGTCTGCTGGGCTATATGGGTCACCTCAGGGCTGGATCCAACTGGCATTGAAGCAGCTACAGCCAGCTTACAGTGCTGTGCTCTAACCAGGTGCACGAAGGAGGGCCTGGCCCGATGCTTTTCCTTTAAATGTCCCTTCTGGCCCTCCCTGGTGGCGCAGCGGGTTAAAGCACAGCACTGAGAATCTGAAGCCACTTCCTCATGAGTTCGATTCCCGCCTGCAGCCTGCCCGGGAGGAGACCACATGGCGAGCCAGACCTCTCCTGGCCAGCCCGCTGCTTCCCTCAGCAGTGTACTTCGTAGATCTGCCTATTCTGCTCCCCACTCTGTCTCTGGTGAAGCCTCTCACTGCCCCTGAGCCTCTGGCCTGTACCCCAGTTCTGTATGCACAAATAAATAAATCTTTAAAAAAAAAAAAAAAAGTCCCTTCTAACCAATAATCATTTCCAGTGTTCCAGTGTAGATTCACAGTTTTATTATTTGCAAGTAGGAATCATACTTTTTAAAATTTTATTTTTTGTTGGATAAGACATGTAAAGATGTACAGTTTTTTTTAACTTCTATGAAGTATTTATTAAAACAGCTATCTTCACAAACATGTTTCTCATTAATATTCATATATAATGTAGACATAAATCAGAATAACTGTTCAGGCTGGAGCCCATACATTGTTTAAAATTGGAGGCAATATCTTTCAACTGTATAAAAGTTATGGAGATGCTTATGTAAATAGTTTGGGTTTTGTTTCTTAGATTATTTACAACATTAAACATTTCCATCTATTGACTTCTAATATCAGGAAACTACTTTCAGTGTAGTAGAATAATTTTGGTTCCTTCTCCTTAAGGAAGCTTTTGTCAATGAACTTGACTATGAACACATTTTATATAGACATTAAAACTTCAAATTAAATAACTATTTTAACAAAGCAGATGCCTGAAATATTACTGCAAATGGTATTGCTGCTTATTATTAAGTCTACAAAAGTAGTCTATATTTTGGTTAGTGGTAATTAGCTTTAGCTATCAGATTTTTATCAAACTTAATTTTCCTGATTTCCAGACAAATAACTCATTGCAGACATAATAGACAAAGATAGTCCAAATGTATATGTACTTTGGAGAAAAGTATCAAGTAAGCAAAGAAATCAATTTTTACTGAATTTTTACTTAATCATAAACAAAAGTATGGTTGAAATACCCAAGAAATGTCTGCTTTTAACTAAAAAGCTCTCACAAGTAACATATGACTGTGTTGTCCAGGGAACCAGTCTCAAAAAGTCACAAGATTGATGCTTTATAGTAATTGAAAATGCACATAGTTGCTGGGAAACTCTCCAATTATATGAATGTGCAACATAGCAGCAATTTTCCAAAGAGCAGATATAAGAGTTGTATTTTTGTTGTTATGTCTGGGAACCAGAGTAATTCATGAAAAGATTTTTGCTATTATCAATCACTTGATCAGCAATTTTTGTGCCCCATAGTAGACAACTATGGTGTTATACTATTCATTCATTCCACAATTTTAATACAGGGATTATTTGTTTATTCTCATAAGAAATAGTTACTTCTAAAAGTAAATCAACAATTCCTTTTAGAACAATGAAACATTCAACACTGTAGTTAAATTCAAAGGACAGACTATAAACTAACCCACAGGAATGGGGGAGGATCCCTTAAGCATATAACAGCAAAACAATTAGCCAAAGACTGAGACAGTTTTTTAACCTGTTGTATTTTTGTCCCATATTGTTAATTTTATAGCACATAAAGAAGACTGGATGAATACAGAATATAGATTCAGAGTGAAATGTATGTCAAGTAAGATGGGCTCAATTAGACCAGTTTCACTATTCAACAGTGAAATTTACAGTTTCACCATCTAATTCATAATTAGACATGACAAAAACATGCTAGTTTGGTGAGACTTCAATTTTTTTTAAAGTTTTGGAATATGAGCAGGGTGTTTTACATTTACTAATGTACAGATAACAAAAATGAAGTTGTAACTGGGCCACAGACTGTGGGAGTTTCTGTTGGATTAGAAAACTGAGCGTGGTGGTAGGGAATCAAAGAATGAAGGATTCTAAGTTAGACTGTGATTTTGAGAAGCAGAAAAGTAAGAAAAAATTCTTCCTTACAAACTGGAATATAATTAAGAGGGAAATATTAGACCTGTGGATTTTTTAGATTTGTAAGTGTTCATCTTGAGAAGCCAGACTTAACAATATTTTTTTCTTGAGACATATAGAACTTGCATAAAGGAAAAAAAAAAAAAAAGTAGACCTGCCTTGCTAGCATACAGGTTAAAGCACATCATGAAGCTTGCTGCGGCCGCTTCACCTTGAGTTGGATCCCTGGCCAGGATCCAACAGACCTCTCCTGATCACCCACTGCTCCCCTCAGCAGTGTACTTCGTAGGAAAAAGAAGTAACTTTGTTTTTTACAAAGTAAGCAATTGGACATTAGAATAAAAGACCGGAGTGACAATATTGGGGTCTTGGCATTATTAGCCCATGTTTATTAAAAGACTATTTAGTTTATTTTTTTAATATTTATGTTTGCATATAAGAACTGGGGTACAGGCCAGAGGCCTGGGGGATGAAAGGATCCGCCAGAGACAGAGTGGGAAGAAAAACAGGCAGATGGAGTGAAATACACTGCTGAGAGGAACAGCAGGCAGGACAGGAGAGGTCTGCCACGCCATGTGGGTCACCTCCTTGGACAGGGATCGCACTTGTGTTACAGTGGCTCCATAGTGTAGTGCTTTATCCCCTTGCATCCCCAGGGTGGCACTTAAAGACTATTTCAATAAGCATATTTGAGAAATGGAGAGGCAAAGAAGTGCATCATGTATTTACCATCAGTAGGAAGATAAAGAGATGCATTTCTAGGTCTCCTGCGACTTGATGAAACTGATGAGAGACAAATCAACAATAGAATGTTGGTGGTGATGAGTTTCTTAAGTTACAGAAAGAGACCAATGGATGGGATTTTTTAATTATAGTCTCCTACCCGTGTCTCCCTCTTTAACATCCTTCTTTATTAATTATTTCTTCCTTTTCCTAATTATTATGTGTGTGTGTGAACTAGAACTTTATTTCACATTCCAACTCAGTTCACTAAGCAACAGTCACAGGAGGGGTAGGCCTGGCAACTGTGGTTTGACTGTTTTATTGGATTTAGGTATCAATACTTGGATTTATTAAATATAGTTGAACAAAGCAGTTTGTTACTTTGAAGAGGGGTTATAGATCATGTGTCAAATAATTTACAGCATAAAGTCTGAAATAAGTTTTATATTGATTTGACCTTGTGTGTGTGTGTGTGTTTTTTTTTTATATGAGACATTAAATTTTCTTTAAACATAGAAGAA